TGGACATCTTGAAACTGATCGCCGGTACGTTTGGTGGCCAGGAGTTCATCTATTTTAAGAGAAGCACATAAAGTTCATCACTGTATGGCCAAAATTGTTAACCTAATTGGGGTTTTCAGTCAAGGGATTAAACTAAGCTGTTCTTTATTTTACCTCACAATACTGTATTCGTAGTATCATTCATGTAAAATCAGTAGAAGAAAGCAGAGAAAATGGTAGACAAGTTACAGCTGTTGACTTGTTTAAATTAATAATCAGATTGATACTAAGTCTATTGAGCAAGCGTAAACTGTCATTTTATAAACAGTCAATGTGCTTTAATCGACCTCTTTGACGAAAAACCATGAATACAGAAAACCATAAAATGCTTGAACATGCTGGAGCCAAATAAATAATATCTTGAAACTGGATGACCTAATAATATGGTTGCTAAAGGCTAAGAATAATCATTCTCAAAAATGGAGAGGCATAATTAGACTCTGTGGCCGAAATTGGTGTGTGGCATGCATTAAGGGATTAAACTTGGCTGTACTCCACTTTGAAGAACAATGAAATATTCTTTATATTTTATCCACGTGAAATTAGTAAAAAGAGGCAGAGAAATTGCAAGATACAGAGACTTAAGATAATGATAATGATCAAACGTCACCTACCATGATATAAACCGTCATTGTAATTAGCCACCTCTTTGCGTTGGAATGCGTTGTCTTCGTCGAGGCCATAGATTCGCCGAGTTCCCAATTCAAGATTTGGTGGTCGACAAGGTCACACTCTCTTTGGAACCCAGTAAAGATCAAGCTACTTACACAATAGCCCGTGTATCGATCCGGGATCCAACCAGGCAGATACGGGAAAAAACGGTAGCATATATATGGCCACTGGGAAGCCCAGAGCTTGCTTAGATTGGTAATCATTGGTCACCTTGCGTCATAATTGTGCATAGTTGTTAAATGATAGTAATGCTTACGACACGTGGAATAATAGGTGCAATAACTGATATACGACTTTGTTTTATCCCATTCAGATCCCTAGAACATCTATAGAAAGAAGTATCGCAGATCAACAGCTGGTACGAATAAAGGTTATTGATGGTTCCAAAGCCTTTCCACAGTTCATAGGTATCAGCTTGCTTCCCATAGTTACCAGCGGCCCTTATGGTCGTCAGGTTGGTTTTTTGATTAAAGTTTTGTGATCAACGAAAAATGATCTAAGCAAACTAAAACAAGAAGAGAAACGAACAAATGACTTGATGGAAAAGACGAAACGGTGGACAATGTCTTAGAGAATATCCTGAAGGTTAAAAAAAAGTAAATTTACTTCTCGAAATGCAAAAGAACAGCCCACAAATTACGTCAGAGTGAGTATTGTAATATTTGACTAACTTTTGTCATTTTTCTGTCATTTTAATGACAAAAGTCAGACTGACAAACATGACATTTTAATGAAAAAAGAAAAGCAGGTGAGAAATTGCTAATGTTAAGTTTTGTTTGTCTGAGTTTCATTTTTAAACTGTAACTAAGCGCAGGACCATTGAAATATTCAAGCCTTTAACTCTCAAGCTATACATGTGTCATAAATTGCGTTGCACATTAGTCAAGAGAAGTTGACACATTTGCCTCATGTCACTTGTCTGCTAGACAATGTATTGATATCATTACATGGAGAAGTCACACGAAGATTACTTCTAGGAGTTAGACTGAGGGTTACGGCAAATTTCATACACAAACAGTTTCAGTTTGTCCTGTACCCATCGGTTCTATAAGGAAATGTTGGGTTGTACGTGACTTCAGTCTTGGGTTTGGCGTATTCATCAGTAGTGTAACACATGGTCCATCCTCCATTGTATGACGTCATGTCACAGTAAACTAGGAACGTATTTGAATGGCTTCCACCATCTGGGCCTAACCAGTACATACCATCTCCCCGAGACTGACCTCGGTTCAGAACGTCCTGACTTTCAATTCCTTAAGAACAATTAAATATTTATCTTCACCTGTATTTAAAAGGCTCCCTGTGGTTTTGTCCGGCTGTTTTTAGAATGTTCTTTCTACCTACGCTACCTACGGAGGCTGTTGAAAATGCTTGACTAGATCAAAAAAACTGTGCCTTCCAAAACACGCTTGATCACTAAATATCGCAGTATGGTCTTCATAAACACCTATCAGGACTGTAAATAACTACAAAAGCATGCTTTAAGCATGCTTTATAGAACGAATCGATTAATATTTGATTTTAAGAGTGAAAGGAGATTGGTAGCTAGTTGTACAAGTGAGGCAACTACAGGAAGCGAACACACCCACAAACCTGGTGTTCCCTGGGAGTTTTGATTCAATTTTTTGTCCAATATTTGTACCCAGTCTTTTCCGTCGAAAAATTGCAAATGATTATCTGCCATGCGCAGTACTCTGAGAGTCCTAGCAGTCAAATTCAATGTGTACAGTAAAATTGATGAAGCAATGTACACCGATTTTAATCCACTGATTAGTCTCTTATTATCAGAGATACTAGGAGCCATGACTATTCAAAGGCTCCTGGAGATACTATCTATACACTGTATATGTGTAGAGTGTGAGGAACAGATCACTTGGGTGCCCCCAAATACCAGTATCCAAGATCGTATAAACAAACAGAATATACAGTCGCCCACTAAATTCTAGCAGGGGCATGCCAGTCGTTAACTTTAAAACCACGTGACCTCCTTTTCGCGCGCAAATAGCCTGGGAACAGCCTCCTCGGTGGGTGTAAAAAGGGGAATAACGAATATAACGGGGCTCAAGAAATCGGCAAGCGAAGCGAGCCACGCTCGGTTAGCCTCTTTTTTTGCACTCACCCCTATCACCAGAAAGGATGATCCCAAGCTCGGTGGCAAAGAAATTCTTTGGCAAACTCGTGAGTGGACTTACGTACAGATGTATCAAAAAACCCTGCAGCCAACATCGGACAAGTCGAGATACAGATGAATTAACGAGATGAACTCGGTATGAAAATCTGTCCATAGACCAATGAGAAAGTCTGTGTTAACATGCAGTTGTCCATATTAAGTAGGTTGACGTTGAGAAACAAAGAAAGCGTCTGATGTGTCTACAAAGAAGGTTTTGACTGCAGGAATCCTTTGTAATACGCTTTTCCATATACACGTTTATAAGTTCTATTTTTTTGACAGATGCCAGCCGTGCACAGATTGTGTGTTTGTGCGACTCTGTCAAGTGACCTCACTTTACAGTTTATCCTTTCTATCTCTGTTTCATACTTTCAATTACAAGTTCCAATGTTCCATTTTTTTCAGTAATTTTGCTTTTCTAAAACGACCAATGATCGTTGTAAAACAGTAGTACAAAAATTGGCCTGCGACAGACGCTGAAATCATTTCTACACCCTCTATTAGCAATTTAATTCATTTGTTGGTTTTTTGAATTTGTTAGCTTCCATTTGAATTTGACAATTTTCCAAAGGACAGTTAACATAAAATTGAAGTAGAATTGAATTAGAAGTCTTAAATTACATATCGATCTGATGAGCTGGAGGAAAATGAGGCTAAAATCCTAATTTCATTACACTTTGCCATCACGGTAACAAGAGAACGCAAAAGACGCAAAGAATATAAACGGTTTGAATGTCGTCTATTAAGTCAGGTGTTACAAGAAAATTACTAGTCGACTTTTCTCGCCAATCTTGATGTCACCCAGCTTTAAAGATTGACCATTGTTGTTCTCAAAAATAACAGGAGAAGGTTGAACGTTGCTATTTCAGAAAAAAGGACTAGGGATAGGCTGCAAAGTACTAAAAGGAAAATAAAAAGGGCCCAGTAATTAAGGTAGTTTACACTCACTGGATGTTCAACGTCACCAGGCAAAGGACAAGGAGTGAAAAGTTTAAAGGCATCATAAGAGTTGTGTGACGAAACGGTGGTAAGACACTGTAGTATGGCAGTTAGCTTTTCAGCACTGTCTGACTGGAGAGAAGCTCGGCGATGACAAGGCTTGTACACGGGAGGCCAATATTACTTAAAGAGCAAAATTAAAAATGGAGCAAAAAAAAATAGGATTAAAAATAGAGCAAAACAAGAAGGAAGGGGGTTGATGATCCATGAAAACAACAGATGAAACAAATATTTCAACCATTTGATGTCATCAAGGCAACTTTAGTCCCAAATAGTATATTTGGATCATTGGATTGGAAGGATTTTAAAATGCGATCCATTTTGGATGTTGTCTTTTTGAGCAAATATAAGTAAGAGCGTCAAGTGATTTCAACTCAAAAACATTTCAATCTAAAAATCATTTTTTTACAACAGACCATGATGAAGATGCCTGATAAGAAGAAGCCTCATATTTAGCGGATTCCCCTCCCCTCGGCGGATTTAACACTGGCAACAAGTTCGATTGCGGGTGTGACTCCTGTCTCGGATTTCGAATCCCCTGCCCTTGAAACAGAGCGCACACGAAAGATAACACCAAATAAGATGGAAAAGGATTACTCTCTTTCCCGCCATCTTGGAACGCAATGATTCAAACTCTCCTTCGATTCCTCAGTTTGGTTTTTGACTCCTCATTCAACGATTTATCCAGCAGTACTCGAAACATTTGTGTTCCTAACTTTGTTGCGGAAAAGGATAGAGACGCCCTTCATACCGGGGGTTGGGAGGTTCATGGGCACCCAGGACTCCCATAGCTACGCCCTGGATTAAAAATAGTAACGTAATAAATCCTTAAGGCACCACTTCGTAGGTTGGTTGCATTTTATTTGAGCTTATAATAATCGATAAAAATGACCAATACGAAAAAATTAACCTCTCGCTTACTTATGGAATAACTACTGAAGTAACACTTGACGTAATTTCTTCACGGTTACCTTGCAGCAATTTAAGTGTCACTTTCAAGCTTTATCAAATTTCAGAGAAACTACTCCCCTCATACCATTAAAGAGGAATTACATTTAACATGATTAGAAGTCAATCGCAAAACGAGGTAAAAGCTGAGCGTAATCACAGTCAGTAACTACTAACGCAGACCGACACTCATCAAGCGAGTGCTGACGGATCGGTGGCCATTGGTATTGAAGGCCACACCCTTATAGCCGCTATTTGTAGCAGCTGTGCGGAAATAGGGCGATTTACGATCATGACACCAGCCGGTACACTGCTTGTAACAGTTAGTGTAGCCGGAAACAAAAAACCCGGTGTAAAAAGAAACATCACAGATCAACAGCTGGTACGAATAACCACTATTCATGGCTCCAAAGCCTTCCCACAATCCATAGGTACTAGCTCGCTTCCCATAGTTACCAACAGCTTTGATGGGCAAGTTAGTTTTCCGTTTGAAGTGAGCCTTATCTCCAGTTTGGTGATCAACGAAAATAATCTCAGTGAACTGAAGCAAAAGAAGAAAAACAACTGTTGTTATTCATCGGACCTGATCAAATGGAATCAAATGATGTGTTGGTGCCTTAGAAATGATAACTGTCGAGTGATGTACAATTCAGGGCCAGAAAGTATGAAAAACCTTGATAATTCAAACAACTCAATTCTTTTTGACTAAACATTTAGAATGTATCATCGCTTAAAAGTTAAAAACCCCCCCCAAAACAGCAAAGTATAAACAGCAATATCGTAATAAAATATGGTAAATGTTGCGTACCCAAATTTGGTGTGCTCTTAGTGACAAATAAAAACAAAACCGCAATGCTCGAAAATGTAATAATAACAACAAGAAACCAAAAAAGAAATTTTGTTTTTCACTCTAGGCGGATGCTTTAATCACTGAGGTCGGCTAATAGAAATACCCCAGCTCATCAAGCAGCCGCAAGGAGCTCAGTGGCAAGAGCATCCGACTAAATAACGGAGAGTCGTAGGTTCGAGTCCCACTTGGAGTCAGAATTCTTTCTAGCGTGTGGTTGATTTTCATCAAAGTCAGTGATTTTCTAAAATACAAAACCGCACGAAATTGCTCGACCTTTGTTCCTCCATTTTTCGTTCCTTGTCCTGTGAGCCTGATATAATAAATCTTTTTGCGCATACTACTGGTGAGCTCTTATCAGCCCTCCAAAAAACCTCCGCGAATTTGGAGAGGACTATTATTCGAACGAAATTTTGTCAACATTTTCTTGAAAGTAAAGAGGTTGTTGAATATCAAGTGAACCAACTTACTTTAATGTTGTTGCAGTTTGTTCTGTAACCGTCATTTCCATAAAGAAAATTAGGATTGTAGGTGACTTCAGTCCTGGGTTTGGCGTATTCATCAGTAGTGTAACACATGGTCCATCCTCCATTGTATGAAGTCATGTCACAGTAAGCCAAAAACGCATTTGAATGGCTTCCACCGTCTGGATCTAACCAGTACATACCATCTCCCCGAGACTGACCTCGGCTCAGAATGTCCTGGCAATCAATTCCTTAAGAACAAATAAATATTTATCTTCACCTGTATTACTCGTAGTTCTGTCTTGCTTTTATATGAAGACTGTTCTTCCTAAGGGTTTGAACAAGTTAAGTGTGCTAACTTTAACGTGACTCAACATGCCATGTTACCTACGAACACTCGTGAGAGGGGTGCCCGGGGGTCATTGGGGGAAGGGGAGAGAGGAGATTGGTCGCCATTTATCCCAAAGAGGCACATGAGGTTAGAGCTCAAGGTTAGAGTAAGGTGGTTACTGTTAGCACAGAACACATCTCTACCAACCTGGTGTTTTCTGGGAGTTTTGATTCAACTTTTTGTCCAACAGTTGTACCCAGTCTTTTCCGTCACAAAACTGCAAATGATTATCTGCCATGCGCAGCACTCCTTTGTTTGCTGAAGTACAATTAGCGTCGACCTCCTGAACACGACACTGAAAATCGTACAACACATGCAAAGGACTTAACTACAATGCTTTATTATGGTTCAAGTGCCACGTACATTAAAATTTACCCATATGGATATCTGGTCATCAGAGGTGTCTTTTATGAAACTGCTCTATGAGCGTTACTTTTGGGCACCGCTAAGTTTCTCTAGCTTCCAACAGCCAGGAATACTAGTATGACTATCCAAATCGTATAAGCAAAACAGACTACATTCTTCTACAAATTTGTGCAGGGGAATGCCACTAGGGCAGGAGCCCATCACTCCTGACGAGGGTTAAATTGTTAACTATTTGAGCGCGAAGGAATGGTCAGGAATGTCTTGGCAAGAACGTGATCGTGAGTAGACTCACGTACATACGAACAAAAATGCATGCAGCCAAAATCGAGCAAAGTACGACACAGTTAAATATGATACGCCAAAAGTGACAAAATATCAAAGATGCAACTTTATAATTCAAATCCACCAATTCACTATCAAGATCGATAGAATTAACATCAATTTGCTTTTTGAATGTGTCAGGATTGTAGAATTTACTTTCAATTCCCACGTGCTTCATGTAATGTATCAAGAGACACGTTTTCTAAATCAAGATGCATGTTTTTTAAATCAAGAAGGGAGACGACAATTTTTGATCAGTTTTGTTTCCGAGGGGGACTGAAACCGAAAAATCTGCCATGCTCCATGGACTGCTCCATGAAGAATCCCGCCCATTCTTGCCCATTCCCGCCCTCCCGCGTCAGACATGGCGGAGGAAGGAATCGAAGAACTTGTCAGAAGAATCATTCGAGCAGCACAAGGAGTTAACACATCTCGAACACATCTCAAACGTGTCGACACCCGACGAAGAACTGAGGCGGCGATTTAAGAACGAGATAGGCTCGATCAGAAAGAAAGCAGGAACAGGCTCTCGCAGAAGCGCTGGTGAAATATCACCACAGGCGCGCAGAACGATTAACAAACAAGCTTCGTAAACTCGAACAGTATAAATCTCGCAGGAATACTGTAAGGAATAATATAGGAATACTAAGCAGACGTCTCACCAGAAAACGCAATCACTGGCTAAAAAGAAAACTGTCAACAAAGATGATAATGTAAATTGAAGACAAGTGTGTGCGAATAAACAAAGTGAATCTTACTCTTGCCTCTTATCAGAATCCTTAGAAGTAAGGGGAAAGGGAACGCAAACCGCAGAGATAACAAAGCGGCCAAAAACCGCAAAAGAAAAGAGCGGAGAAAAATCAAAGACAAAAAGCGCTTTTTTGACGCCATTGAGTCACGCAAACAGTATATCAAAAAGCTGTGAATGAACAACTGATCATGACAGATAAGAAAATTACTCTACTATCGCGTGGTCTAACGTTTATCCCTACACCCGTGACAAAAGAAAATCTTATCAGGCGCCGGCTTCTCGCTGATTTTAATCAATTTGCGAGACGAATGCGACTACAACCACCAGTCCCACTATCTGTAGCTCTGAGACCTTCCTAGAGGAGGTAAAATTAGAGCTCGCAAGTATTGAATTTGACAAGCCAAAAGATAATATATCTACGGGAGAGCGCCAAGCTCTCAAAGAGTTATCGCCCAACAAAAGCATTATTCTTAAGAAATCTGATAAAGATAAACACCACCGTATTGATGAGCAGACAGGACAAACTAAACGAAGGTCAGGTTCTGCTTGATGATTTAAATAACTACCAACTTCTAGACAAACCAATGGTTGAAACTACATCCAAAAAAGCTCAACAACTTATTAAAACACTGCTCTCAGAAGGCCACATTGATAAAATAACGGCTAAATGGCTGGGTTTTACACACTTACTAAAATCCACAAACCGACACCTGTCGGAAGACCTATTATATCAGGGTGTTCCGGACCTAGAGAACGGATCTCAGCATTTGTTGACCACCTTATTCAGCCAATAGCACAACTACAAGCTTCGTATCTTAAAGATACGACAGACTTTATTAACTTCATCAAGAGGATTAAACTGCCTAAAAGTGCCATACATGTCTCAATGGACGTCACAATACAAAAAAAACACACACACACAACGAGAGGGTATTACCACTGTATGCCTTGCATACGAAGAATTTCACCAAGGAAACCCTCCAGTCCCTACCAGGTTTTTAAGCGAAATGCTTAGTCTGATACTACTAGAAAACTCGTTCCAATTTAACTTGAAAGATTATCTTCAAACCCATGGAACAGCCATGGGCACGAAAATGGCCGTAACCTTTGCTAACATCTTTATGGCCAAAACAGAAAAAGAACTTATTCAGACAGAGCATCTTTTGGAAAAGGTTTATATCGATGACGTCATATCACTGATGGGACACAAGCAGAAACGAAATAGAAGAATTCCTTCTACAGGCAACTTCCATCCTACAATCAAATTCTATCACGGCTGAAATATCAGAAACAGAGACTACATTCTTGGACACGAAAGGTACAAAGGTGTCAGATTCAACAAGGATTCTATCCTTTGCGTGCGAACACACTTCAAGCCTACAGAAACAATCCAAAACGTGTCACCCACCAGGCGTCACAAAAGGCTTCATCAAAGGAGAAGCTTTAAGGCTTCTAAGAACAAATTCCTCTGAAATCACTTTTGAAGAAAACATGAGGAATTTTTCAACACGCCTCAAGAATAGAGATTACCCAGCTACAACTGTAGAAAGACATCTCTCAGAGGTCATTTTCGCAGACAGAAAGAAAGCACTAGAAAAGAGAAACAAAAATGCAAGTAAGAAAATACTACCCTTTGTAACGCAATACCACCCTGCGTTGCCCAACCTCAAGAACATACTCATGGGGAAATGGCACCTTATACAGAACCAACCATATCTCAGAAACATCTTTAAGGAACCTCCCCTCATTTCATATCGCAAAGGAAAATCCCTAAAAGACACTCAAGTAAGAGCTAAACTATGAAGGTTTTAAGACCAATCTATTTGCGAACTGCAGGAGTCGTGCAGGCCCGTCAACACTTTTAAACCTTGAATTCCAACCCGTGTGCTCGGTTTCAGTCCCCCTCGGAAACAAAACTGATCAAAAATTGTCGTCTCCCTTCTTGATTTAAAAAACATGCATCTTGATTTAGAAAACGTGTCTCTTGATACATGACATGAAACACGTGGGAATTGAAAGTAAATTTTACAATCTTGACTCATTCAAAAAGCAAATTGATGTTAATTTTATCGATCTTGATAGTGAATTGGTGGATTTGAATTATAAAGTTGCATCTTTGATATTTTGTCACTTTTGGCGTAGCATAGTTAAAAGTTAAGCTCTGTTTATATGTTTTTAACCAGATAAACAGAGCTCATTAAATTAGCTGATCAAACGATGAATCTGTCGATTGATCAAAAAGAAGGTGTTTGTTGTTCGCTGACGTCTCGGGTAATATGAAACTTTCTGCATATTTTACGGCTTCCGTAATTATAATGCATGAGGGGTTTTCCTATACAGTAGTGTTCGGCTATAATACGCTTTTTGCAATTCTATTCTTTTTTCGCCATATGTCAGCGATGCACATAGATTATGTGTTTGTGTAACACACCTAACACTACCCTTCCTGTTTCTGTTTTAAATCTTTAGCTAACAAGCTGCAATTTTCTAATTTTGCTTTCAGCCAGCCCAATTTTCATTTCCTGAACCTTCTGATAGATTAGTAAAAAGGTAGAAGCAGCTGAAACGACACCCACTTTCATGAAGGGCAATTTTACCGGGTGGAGGAGGAGAGATTCCCATATAAATCAAAATTAGACCCCGGCCGAGAGAGACCAATGTGGGTGTTGCTCAAGCTAAGCTGACCCCTAAAGGAGACCATACTTACTAAGAAGGATATCACGGCAGTTTTTGTAAATTTCTTTATGCACAGGCCTGAGCGATACCTGAATGTGAAAATATAGTGACTTTCCGTCCCAAACACCCTAAGTGAGACGACGAGCATCCTCTCACTTTTATATGGTTGGCCCCACCCCCCCGGGTCAATTTTGAAATTAAAATTTAATTACATATCGCTCCTAACTGATGCTTAATTGAAAATACGAAGCTAAAATCAAAATTTCAGTACGCTTTGTCATCACAATAACAAGAAAAAGCTAGTGAAGCAAACAAATGGAATATAAACGTTTTACTAATCTGTTTCTTGAAAGTCACCAACCTGATGATCTTTCCCGAATTTGATGTCACCCAGCTTCAAAGATTGACCATCGCTGTTTTCAAAAATAATAGGGCAAGGTTGAATTATGCTGTACGGGGAAAAAAGAGCTAAGGTTAGGCTGCAAAGTACTAAAATGAAAATCAAAAAGGCCCAGTAATTAAGCTAGTTTACACTCACTGGATGTTCAACGTCATCAGTACCATCAGGCAAACGAAAAGGAGTGAAACATTTAAAGGCATCATAAGAGTTGTGTGAGGATGTGAGGAAACGATGGCAAGACAATTTTAGAGTATGCCAGTTAGTTTTTTTAGCACTGCCTGACTGGAGAGAAGCTTGGAGATGCCTACGTGAAAACACGAAAAGCCATCATGACTTAGAGGGCAAAG